ATCATTTGTTTCTTAGTTACGGGCGTTTTGGTAGTGCATTACACCGACCCTCCTGCGCTTTCGGAATGGCGTGTGCATCAAATTTTGCCAAAGACTCGCCAAAACGGCTACGGAAACCTATGAAATGCTAAAGCAAGCATTTGGGGAGTCCGCAATGGGTCGTGCACAAACTTTTGTGTGGCATTTACGTTTTAAAAATGGCCGAACCTCTGTCGATGATGACGAGCGTTCTGGACGACCATCTTCGAGCACAACGCCCGAAAATGTTACGAAGATTCGGCAGGCCATTCACGAAGATCGACGTCGTACCATCAACGACTTGTGCGACATTGTTGGGATAGGCTATGGGACCTGTCAGCTGATTCTAAAGGAAGAACTCTACATGCGACGCATCATGACAACGCGCCAGCGCACACCGCCCTCAAAGTTCGGCAGTTTTTGGCCTCAAACACTATGGCCGTCATCCCGCACCCTCCTTATTCGTCGGATTTAGCTCCGTGTGACTTCTTCCTCTTCCCAATGATGAACATTCAGCTAAAGGGAAGGAGATTTGAGGCGATAGAAGAGATTCAGGCAGAATCGCAGATGGTGCTTGACAGGCTGATAAAGAAAGATTTCCAGGGATGCTTCCAGGCTTGGCAGCGGCGCTGGGATCGTTGTGTTCACTCCCAGGGGAACTACTTCGAGGGTGATGGATGAATTTAATACCTGAGATAAGTGTACGGGTTTTTATAGGCGCAGTCTTGAAACTTTCCGATCGCACCTCGTAAAGGCTTTTATCGAACTGTGTGACACCCATATGTTTAAGATGTATAAACAAATACACTTTGTGCTAATATCAGTTTGTGGTTAAGATAAATAGCATTTTAAATAACAGTCATGTTCCTAGGATACGTGGATTAAACTACGAACATTATAAGGCACACCTTATGTTTACGTTTGTAAGGATCCTTATAGAGCATTTTTTTTCTATAAATTACAATTAAAATTAACAAGATAAAAGTTAATTAGTATGATGCAAATCTTGATGCTGAAACGTCGAAAACGCCTAATAAAGCATGAATAAAATAAAGTAATTCTAAACCCCTGTTGATTTCAGTTTCGACACACAGTCGCAACCGGATCTTGAAGACATCCGAAGCAGTTGCCCACAAGAAATAAGCCAGTTGGAATCCGCCATTACGAACATGAAATCATACTGTGCCAATAATCCATACTACGTTGAGAATAATTTCTCATTAGTTGTGCCATATACTTAAATGAAACATCAGCTGTCTTATCCCGGCTCTCTGAGTTCACAAATGCGGAACGATTTCTCAAGACTGTCATAACTTTCGTCGTGTTTAAAAACAACAGCGACACAAAGTTTGGAGCAGTGGTATTCAACCTGGGGTACGCGAAGACATCTTAAGCCTTGTATCGACTGCGCGCGGCTGCCTCGCGCACCTGTTCGTGCGCGGCAAACTCGTTCGTTCGCTCATTGTGCTCGTGGTTACCAGCATCGAGCGCGGCAACCGTGTTCGGCTGTGATCGACGCTGTTCGTCAGTTCTCGCAAGATCACCATGAATACA